CTGTGGCTTCGACAGAGCCTCAACAACACTGAAGAGTAGTTTTATAGCAGCTGTCAAACTTCACTACACAAGAAACATTTGAATAAGTCTTATTCCGTAATTAATATTATGCAATTTAGGCTCTTGAATTTCAGGTGAAAAAAACGCTTCAGAAACAATGTCAGCAATACTGGTTCACTATGCTCAATGCAGCCCAGAATAATTCCATTTAAAGAAGCACACATGAAATATTCGTAGTTATTAAGTGTAAATAGACTTAATTTCAGTTAGGCATGCTGCTAACAAAGCAGCAGGTATATGCACAGCGAGAAACAGAGGTTGCAGAATTATTAAACCAGGACATGAAGTGAACTGGTTTGCCAAGTCCAATCAAACCTGCTCTTCTTCATGTAGCCTGAATGCAACCGTAAAACACACCTTACCTTCAGGTTAAAGGAAGCTCCCCTATCTTTAAGTGTTTCCAGTTGCTAATTTTTTGCCTAATGCTAGCGTTCTGGGGTTTGCTGGAATACATCAATGCTCCAGACACACACCACCTTCTGTGCATATCCAGAAAGTTCTGTACATCTTGTTCCTCCATTCTCTGGAGCAGTTCTTAGCCACAAAAGTTGTGTGCAGTGTCTGGCTTTTTCTGTAAAAGTGGAGCCAACGCTCTGATCTTGGAGGAGCCTCAGTAGAAGTTATCAAGGAGGCTTTAAGCTTGATGCTCTCAGTCAGTCTGAAAATAAAACAACCCCTTCCACCCCCCCAACAAAGCCCTTTATCCCATACAAAAGACAGGAAGGGAGAGGGCAGGATCAGGATTTTCACCATTTTGGTACCAGGTAAACATCAGAGAGACACAGTTCCAAAACTGATAATGTTTTAGTTGCATAGCCCAAGTTCCTTATTCTACTAAGCTGCTCAAGTCCCTTCTTAGTACATCCAAAATCAAGTTCTATCAGCAGCTATTAAACATTCTTAGTTACTCCCTTTGAGATGAAGTTTCCTCTCCTCATCTGTAACTGGAATTTTTTAATCAAAAAACACGTTGGGTCTGGTGGTACTTCAGAAGTGCTGTGCTGTTAGGTGCTCTGGTGCTATGCTGGTACTAGCCTGAGTCACTGCAGAATAACTGTATAAAATAAACAAAATGCTATATAGGCCAAAGTTATAGCTCCCAGTATCAAAATTATTAACATTTATAGAAAGTCTAACGTAATCTGTGAAGGCCTGCAAGCGTGACAGTCCTTTAAAAAAGAGAAAATATTATTTAATCAGCATAAGAATGTTTAAGTCTAAAAGGTGATTAAAAACCACATCAAATGGCAAACCAAAAACATCACAATAACTTGCTCTTGGCTTATGTAACATAGGTACTCCATACCCTCAAATTCCTGTTTGTATGAGGACATATCTCTTGGAACACCTTCCATTTTAACAGGATTATAAAACCAGCATAATTTAAAGCCATGCACTGCCTCTACAAAACAGCAGCTTTATAAAAAAACCCTATATTTAGAAAGTTTTACTTGTTTTAAGATGTAGCGCTTACCTTGTATTTCTAGCCTCCTTCTATAGTGTCTGTTTCAGCACATTTCTGGTCAATTAAAAATAAAGATAGGAAAAACCAAAATTACAAAAACGTCACAAGGATAGTTTGTTTTAAAAGTTACATATTCTATTCCACCTAAGAAATTAAAACCTTAAGAATACAAGTTGCTCTCAGTTTTTGCAGTTTTGTGATGTTAAAGTATCTTATTAGGTTAAAAATCCTTAGAGTGAACTAATTTCAATATGCTCTAAGCTCATTTTTAGCACCTTTCATATTACTACTCAAATTCTAACACACTAATTATTTGTCTTTCCAGCTAGCTCTGGCAAGAATAATAGCGCTAGAGGTGCATCACCCATTCCTTTTAACTCAACTACAATACATAAGACCAGCCATAGCTCCTCCAAGCCCAGCTTGCATAGTTCCTTAGAGTTGGAATGTCTTCATACTCAGAAGTTTAAGTGACAATTATATCTATGCACTATAACTTCATTTAATGACAGAAATATATTTTATTTTTCTATAGATTTCTTTATAAAGGTTCCTTCATATTTAAAAAGGAAACTGTTCACAACCACATTTTTGGCTTTTTGCTATGACAACAACTCAAACATATTTGTTCCAGCACCAACATTCTATTTATCAATATAGTTTAGAATATGTGTGCACTTATATGCATATACAGACACATTTGATTATGTCAATGGAAACCTACTGGATACTAAATTTAGAAAAGGTTAAAAAAAAAAGAAAAGAAACAGTTATCTTTAAGGCTGGCATTTATTAAATGCCATTTCATACAACATTAATGAGGTTTTCCAGTTTTGGCTGTGAACCTACAGGTATCACCTAAAAGGTGCCGTACATTGCTCAGCCACACAATGTTGCTTTTGCTCTGAGAAACGAATCCTAACAGATAGGGCTTTTCTTCTTTCAAAGGTTTGCATGTCCAAAGGTTGAAGCTGGTGTTATGGTTTCTATATGTACCAGTGAAAGAGGTTAGAAATGAAACATATAAAAAACCAAACCAAAATACCCAAGAGGAAGAGGCTACAAGATGGAATCACCAAAAAGGCCTAGAAAAGAAGTATTCCCACTTCCTTCCAACAATTATTTAATCAGTAATCTAAACGCTGTTTAAAAAAAAAAACGCAATAGAAACCCAAGCAACAACTAAGTATATTCCCTATCCAATATCATATTAATTCATAATTTAATCAATTATCTAAATTGATTTCTAGGAAACCAAGCAAGGGCTCCAATTTATTGAACACTTTACACATAAAAACACTAAATTTGGCTGAATATCTGTGCATTAACCTCCACCTTTAAATAACTCAAAGTTATTAACTCGAAGTAAATAACTCAAAGAATCCCACAAATTTAAAATGGTAAATATTACAGTGATCTTCATGTCACTGCATGACTACTTCTAAAAATTCACCTGTATTTTCAGTCCAGTTTTCCTCATTTCTTCAAATACAGCTAAATCGTCAAAGTTGCTCTGCACTTGCAATAATGTACTAAGGATTTTCAGCTTCCAGATGTTTTTATTTGGCTGTGATTACCAGACAAAACTGTCAAATTTTACATGCAAGTTATACCACAAAAATCATAATTTATCCTAACTAATTGCACAGGAAAGAAAACCAGGAAGGAACTAGATAAAATGTCAAACATTAAGAAAATAATGTTATTAAATGCCAGCTGTGCCTTTGTTGAGAGCTTTATAACATCACTTAATTCAAAACCTGGGCATTTTTCCATCATAAAGGGGAAGATGTAGTGTGAGGAAGAAGCGTAATCACCTTCCCATAAACACCTCCTTTAGAACATGCCGTACTCACAGGACACTGCAAGCTGGGCTCTTTTTTTCTTAAAAGCTGACTGATGTTCATCTAAATCTTTCAGACATATTGACAGCAAAGTTACGAGATTTCACGAGGGGCTCTTCGTGAAATGCGCAGGAAAAGATAAGTTTCTGATACTTATTTTAGGAATTGTTCACTTTATTTTAAATCCTGTAGATTTTTATTTCCGTTCTATTGCCCGCCGCAGCCAGGAATCCTGGTGTTACCTCCCTCCACCGCACTGAGCCAGCGCAGCAGCAGTTCTCTGCGCTGCATACTGAGAAACCAGTGCAAAAAACACACAGTCGGAATAAAGGGAAATGTGTTTGCTGGCCCAGGGGAAAGGCACTGCAGCACTAAGGCAGCCAAAGGAACCGCTCACAACCGCCAGCCCCTTTATGTGCCCAGACACACTGCCCGGTGTCACTGCTGCAGGCACACGGGCTATTCACCGACAAAGCTGATTAACCAAGTGCCATCCAAAAACCCGTGTATTTCACAAATAACAAACCAAGCCCTGTAACAGCCCCTGCTCTGAGCTCTTTTAACGTGTCGGTGACCCTGCTGCGGGATTTGGGTGATGGGGGCCGGGGAGTCCCAACTTCCCAGCTCTGAAGGAGGCAATGCTCTCCTCACACCACACGGGTCTGTAAGGCCAGGCCCTGCAGCTGTGCCTTCCTGCCCGCAGGCCCCGCACCTCACCCGGGAGTTTGTGTGCCGTACTGACAAACGATAATAAAATAAATAAAGCCGTGACCGCAGCGGAACAGAAGGAAAATCTATCAGCGGAGGGGGCAGCAGCCGAGCCGGGCAGCGCTCCCGGGACCGCCAGCCCCGCGTAGGGCCCGGCGGGGCGGGG